CCCCAAAACCCCAAAACCCCAAAACCCCATGATGAAGATAGAAAATGGAAATCTGAGAAATTAATTATGAAATTAAAATTAATCAAGTTAATATCATTGATTTTATCATAAAGTTTTAATATTGTTGAAATAGGCAATTAAGCCAACGCTGTTCCAGTAGCTTTGTGGGTATCTTGATCTGAATCTGAAATGATACTTGATCTTGAACAAATTATTTGACTAAATTTAGCCAATCAAGGGGCATACAATCTCATATCTAAGGATTGAGTCTTCTGGCAGTTCATCAAACATCTTTACTTATTTGCGTTCAGGTTTGTTGTCTTCAAATTCTAGCTTAGGAGGAGGTGGATCAATTAAGCCATCATTTTCTTTAAATTTGTTCTCATTTCTTAAGTCAAAGAAAACCTTTTGGAAATAGTTATCCACATCTTCACTTACTTGGTCAACTCGGGATTGCAATCTAGTTAGTAAATTATCACTGCTTGATACTATGTTGCTCTACTTGAATTATAAATTGAAATCATCCAATAGGTTAATTTAACTAGCGTGCTGTTGATTTGGAGCTGTCTTGTCACCTTTCTTCTCAGCTAAATCTTAATTATCACTATCAAAGCTTGATTCACTCTCTATCTCATGAAGCTGAAGCAGTCCAGCACCTCCACTTTGAATTTTACTTATCTATAGTATATCACTCTTGTGCTTATCAGATTAGGATTTTAACAGATTATGTTTTTAATCTTAAGACTTAAAGCTTGATTTAATTCCTCTGCCTTTTAGTTTAGGTCCTTGTGTGTTTAATGTTTGATAATTTGTTTTGGTTGTAGCTTTATGTGAAATGACTTGAAGTTGACTTGACCTTAAACTTGACTTAAGCATTGGTGATTGTATCATGTGGGCAGGAGTTGAGTTTATCTTATGGAATTGGAGAGAAATTTGATTCTCTTCGTGATTGGTAGTACTTTCCTTATCTGCAACATCAGTTATCAGATCCTTTATTCTAACTTTTAAAAAGCTACCTCTTGGCTTGAAAGGTGAAGCCGGCTCCAAAGGTACCACTTAATCCTCTTATAGTTTCTCCATCATCAAAAGTATAGATTGGGCATGATTAGTTCCTTAATTTTAAAATTAAGCTTATAACTAAACTTCTCTACCGAATCTCTAAACTCCCTTTCCTTCACTTCCCCTAATTACAATTGGAACAGATTCTACAGCATCCCAGTTATGCCTTCTAATGCAAGAAACCCTCATTTTAATCACAGGAAGTTCTTATTCGAACTCTCTCGTCATTGCTCTCTCTAGCTCTCCTGTTTTAAAATTGATATGTCCATTTCTTAAAGTAATTCCTTCTAAATATATACCTCTACTTTATTGCTGATTCGCAGGTTGATTTTTAGGCAAATACATGATGAGGCCGAGAATATTGTAAGAAACAGAATAGCAATTGGCGTAGTCAGCTAGCATTTACTGCATTAGATTAAATGGATTCATGACTATTGCTAGCTTTAGAACTGGGGGTGGATTACCTTTTGATTCAATAGCCCATCTCTCCAGATACGCATACTTGGAAGTAAGCAGTTCTAGCCATTCAACTAAAGTGATCTTTATCTTGCAGAAAAAGCCACTTTTAAGCCAGGAGCCAGGCACTTCATTGTTTAGCAAGCATTCATATAAATCTAAATCTTTGATGTCAAGACTTTTAATTCTAATTCCTTAGAGATAATTCTTTAGTATTGAAAGTTCCTTATTTATCTTTTTTATGATCTTGTTCATTTGAATCAGCTCTGCAAAGTAGAAATTCCTGAAAATCTACTCATTCTTGCCCGAGAAGTTCTTGTACTTAAATTGATAGTCGAATTGAGAAAGGGCTTAAGTGATTGATCTCTACCTAGCTGAGGTTGGTGTTTGCACTTCTTTAGGATTTGATAAAGTGAAGTTTCTGAATTTAACCACATTAGGTGAGGCGGGGGATGTGAGTTCTTTGTTCATTTAAGGAGTTTAGGGTGCCAGATTACTAGAGAAATTTCTATTAGCAGTCTAAACAGTTAGTTTAGGCTCTAGTCTAGTAGGTCTTTTCTATTCCAAAGTCTTACCTGGCAAATTAATTTAGAGACTAGGTATAACATTTGATTTTCTTCTAGATTCTCTCAATGATTATGGACTCATCTTTTTCTATTCCTCCTTTGTTGGAGAAATAGTAGGTGACTGTTACGCAGTAATAAGTTCTTTTGCTAATTTCTCTTCCTCTTCATCTGCACTTTGTTCCTCGTCTAAAGAAGCTGCATTTTTAGCGAGTTTAATGCTAAACTAAGGATACTCAAGTGTTTTTGGAAGAAGCTCATTTACAAAGTTAATTATTATGTAAACTCTCTCATTCTATTACTCTTTTGACTAGACTGTATCATAGTAAAGCTTTCTTAGCAATGAGAGCTCTCCCTTTTACTATTGCTTAAGTTTTTCTTATCTAAATTTTGAGGCGTTTTATGGTGACATCACAGCATTTCTCTAATAACCCTTAAGTTTAGAGCCTGGTGATTAATTTTCAGACATCAAATCCTTGATAAGTTCAACATTTATCATTTCATTCTAAAGCTTCAAAGTTGTTTTCTTTGCTTGATTTATGATCTCAGTCTGCTAGTTAGTCTCTATTTTTTCAAGCAAGCGACCACCTTATAATGTATTGTTTAGTGTCTAGATTCCCTTCTAATCTCTGTCTTTGTAAAGAAGATATTTCTAAGCTGATGGCATTTGCTTTATAAGATGATTTAACTTTGATTCAAATCCATTTATCTCATCGATGTTTCTTTGATTGAAGCACTGAATGTATAGCTCTACTATCTTGTCAACATCTCCAAAGCAATAATCTTCTTTCTGATTGATCTTTTGCTTATGAATATTCTACTTGCTATTGAAGCTGTCTAATTCTTTGTTAAAGCCAATTAGTAAAAGTTCCCTATTCTCCAGTGTCAACTAATCACGATCTAGCTCAAATAGGTACCTAAGCTTTTAGTCTTGCTTTTAATATTATTTTGCCTTAGTAAAATGAATTGAAACCCCCATTAATACATTTTTTGTATCAATATAAAGTCTAGCAAGTCCTTGATTTAGAGAAACTCCTAGTATACTTAGCTAATCTTATTCTGGCATTAAATTGATATTTCTCTTAAACTCTTGGGTGTTAAGTCTATTTTCATGTGAATTTACTCCATAAAGATAATAGCAATGCTTCTTGTGTGCTGAAATAGTATAATCTCCTACCTTATTTACCATGAAGTTAAACAGATTCCTAACAATGCCTGTGCTCAACACTCCTGTATTTTAATCATTAACAGCAGTATAGTTTTCTATCTATTTCTGAAGTAACTCCTTTGAGCCTCTTTTTCCTTTGTTGATAAAGTACACCATGAACCAGAGCTATTCTTGAAATGCCATGAAATCCTCTTTGGAAGTAGTGTTGAATCTCTCATTGAAGAACTCTACATATTAGTCTCTCTCAAAGAAATTTCTCTCATCCAGAATTGCAATAAGCATATTAAACTTGAAATTAAGCTGCATCTCGTTTTCTAAAGCCTAGTTGATTCTCTTCAGGAATTTCTGCTTAGGCTTTCTATTGACAAGGTCTCTGCGCTTTACATCAACTACATTGTCTTTAATAAGTCTTTCCCAATAGTCTGAAATCTGTTTGAATTTAATCTCTTTTTCGTTAGATGGTTCCTTAGGCATCAAAACAGTGTAGAAATGTTCTTCATAATTATGCAGTATGTAGCCTACCTCTGGCTCATATAGACTCATCATTTACTCCTTAAGACCTTATTTAGAATTTATGAATATTTTGAAGCAGTCATTTGTCAGTTAAAATAGCTTTGTCGATAATGATTGTTTTAAGTCGAGAGGGCGGTATTCTTCGCTTGAAAATGTCTCTGTGTAATATGTTATCCATATTCTCAGATTAGGGAAGCTCTGTCTAACATAAACTATCCTATCATAAATGAACTTTAGAATCTTGAGTATTTGCTATTCAGGAAGCATTTAAAGATTCTCAATGATGAGCCAGTTTCCACCTCTAGCGGCTTGCAGTATCTTGAGCTTGATGATTTCAAAGTTAGACTTGCCACATGATATTCTAATTGTCTGTCTAAATGCTTTTTTTGAGGCATTCATAATTCTTTAGACAGGACTGGAAGAGCCGAAGTTGTAAAAAATTATAGTAGGTCTTTTAAACCATTCAAGTGTGGCATGAATCTCTATAATGTGCTTTGGGGTATAATGAAAGATTGGATCAAGAGCATGCTTGATAAGGTTATCAATAGCTTTGGATATTGTCTCACTTTTTGTTACAAACAACAAGAGAAGCTGATCTATTGGGTCTTGTTGATTCAATTTTTCTCTAGGAGTTCCCATTTTAGACTTTGACAATTTTGGAACAAAATCAAATGGGTCGAAATCCTAAGAGCTAGGAGTGTGGAAGAACATGTTCAACCATTTCTCTTTTTCAGCAACTATGTCATTCTCAAGTGAAAGGAAAGTCTCCAAAAAGTTTGAAATTAGAGAAGAAATAGCCTCGAAATGATATCCAGGGACTAATGTCTTTAAGTTAGTGCTTCTTGAGTTATTTCTGTTAAATCCCTCAGTAATAGTTGATCTTCTCTTTAAACCTGCTACCATTGGAGGAACTTCTCCTGAATCACTCTCTTTTCTAATGATTGAAGCTCTTCTTCTAACTTGCTCTAAATTGGGTTTTTAAGCCATTTAAGAAGTCTTTGAATTATCCTGCTAGGATAGATGCTTGTGAGTATCTAACTTCTATACTTAAACTACCATATTTGAGAAAGAGAAGTTATCATTTTGTATAGTCTAGGTTTTTGAAAACTGATTTTAAGATGTATTAGAGCCCTTGCTTACTTTTTATGTATTCATTCTGATAGGTCTGTTAGTTAGTGATGCATTGCCAATATTACCAACCGAACCCTTTCTCTTAATAGCTGGTCTTACATGATCCATTTCATCCTTATAGATTTGCTATCTTCTTTCCTTTGCTATGAGGCTTTCTACTTGGAATGCTCTGTACACATTCCCTCCAATTCTCTTTACTATTTTTTATGAGCCTGTTTCTATTCTCTTTAACTTCTATGCAAGCGCATCTGGGCTTTGTTATAAGATTTCTTTCAAGTTTCTAATGATTTCTATATTATCTCTAGGGATCATATTGTCTAAAATGTAGCTAAGGTTTTATGCCTTTAAAACTGGCTAGGCTCTTAGTATATCTTTATTTGTTACCAATGGCAATATTTTTCCTTCAATAGTTTGATAGTAGTCCTAAAGTCTGTGCTTTGTATAATCCCATTTAGGATCTCTATAGAAATCCTTTTGCTCATAATTAATTGCTAGCAAGTCTCCCTGATATATCTAGAGACCATTGAATAAAAAGTCAATCTTGTCCAAAATAGATTTTTTACAGCTTTGAACAGCCTCATGTTCATTTTGTAGTAGTTTTACAGAGAATATAAACATGAAAATAACTTTATGGTCCTTCCTTAACCCACTTATTAGTTTATGCATGATTCTGAGTACCAGATTTTCTGTGATATTAGACAAATCCCTTTTTGATGAGCTATTAGAGAATGTAACTGATAATTGGTATAACTCCTATGCAGTTTATTTTATCAATAGTTTGAAGTAGTTGTCAGTGAAGTTATATAAATTACCTAGAGAGGCTCTAACATCTTAAGTTGTCTTCCAGAGGATATAGACTGGCTCAGTTGCAAACATAATCTTCTACCTAAAGTCAATTTTTTACTTGTTGTTTGAATCTAATATCTCTTTGTATAGCTTCTCAAAAGCAGCTTTGTTCTAAACTTGACTTGGACTTTTTAAATAGAACTAAAGTAGATTATCTTAATCGAAACTTGTAGCTCTATGCACTGATTTTTTGCCTTTTCTGGTAATTTTGCTTGGCTATTATTTTTTTAGCTCGCCTGAAGCTGGTCTATTATGCTTATTTTCTTTTATAGCGTTTTCTTCTTTTTGTTCCTCTTCTTCTATCTCTTTTTAAACCTTCTCAAATAGAGCTTTATACTTTTTCAAATACTGATTTTCAAGAACGAATTTTAGCTTTTGTTGCTAAATCTCTTTCAAAGATTTGATTAGATTTTTGATTGTGTTGATAGTCTCTTAATCTCTGAAATTAAACTCATTCCTCTTGAAATATCTCAAGAATATCTTCTCTCTTTTCAGCTGTTCTCGCTATATTCTAAAATTATGACCTTTGAGCAAATAACTGATAATGTATGGTTCAAACTAGAACTATTGCATTAAGATGTCTAACACAATATCTTTCATCAGATCTTAATCGTCTTCTACTGCAAGATTAACGAAAGTAGTTCTCTGCCTGTAATAGTTCTCAATATTCTAGAAGTTTTTGCTTGAAAAGACTAGATATAGCCTAAATGACTTTTTAATAGTTACAAATGCCTTGTTAAAATGGATGGTATCAATATCCTATTCTTCTTCTTCATCTGGTATTGGTTATGTGGTTCCATTATTTGACATTGGCCTTTCAAAATTATCTGATAGTATTCTTTAAGAAAAAGCACTTTCCTTTTCACTTACTGAGTCTGGCTGATTAGACTGATGTGATTGATCTAGATCGATGTTTGATTTAGAGTCAAAATCTTTATCATTCTCTTTACCATAGTATCTACCTCTTATATCTCTCAGATAGTTCTTATATCTCCATTGTATTAATGAGTCTACCAATTTCAAAGCCTTTACATCTACATCTTTTAATATAATTGGCGTTCCATTTTCCATACACCTCACCAATTTTTCGAAAGTAGTTTCATTCTTAGTGTACCTTTCCTAGTAATACTGGAATACTCTATTCTCATTATTTTTTAAGTTACTCTCGTCTAAGTCATCAGCTTCAATAATAGTTATCATTTCAGTTTCTATTTAATGAGGAGCTTCAAGATTTGTAATGTATTTGAAAGCAATGCCAAGTGGGTCATAAATGAAAGGGAACGGAAGTTTAAATTTATTGACTAATTTAATCAAAGCCAGATTCTCATAAAGTCTCTGATTTTCTTCAATACCATAAAGCGAGCATTCTTCCTAGAAATTTTTAGTCTCTAAATTGACAAATTAGAATATTGCATTTTAGATATTAAACTTGAGATCCCATTCTAGCATTAGATTTAGTATGTAGTCTCTTAGATACGAACTAACGACTGATGGGAATTTCATTACAAATACAAAGTAAAGAGCAATATAAAGCATGTTCCCTTCAGTCATATCAAATGGAGCAGCTTGATCAACTACATATACTTTCCATTTCTTTACATAGCTAGCCAGATCTCTTTTAATATCTTTCAACTATTTGCCTATATCTTTAAGACTTTGAATTGACGAAGTAATCTTTCTAATCTTTTTCTCGAGTTTTTTAGAAAACTTATCCAAAATCTTAATTTCATCAGATCTTTACTAATTTATAGCTATGAGATTGATAGCTCTTGACCTTTAATCTTCAGCTTCCATTAGATCTCTCTCAAAATCTATTTGAATTTCATCTAATTATGCTTTCATCTTTGAGTAATTAATTGCATTCACAAACCAGGATAGACTCAATTTCTAAAACTTAGTAATCACCTTCCCATGATTTGATATCAATTCAGAAGCCTATTCATATAGTTGTTAGAGTTTAAAAATATTCTCTGAGGCAAACTTCTTTTATAGTGAAAATACCCCCAAATCTTCAATGAATTTCTAATAAGAATACTTCTGCAAGTAGAACTTTGGTGCTACTTTCTCCATTTTAACATTTGGCTTTCTTTTCATTTTCTCAGTTCCAAACATCAGTATAAACATCAATGCCAAATGCTGAGAAACTATAAGCTAAGGAGCTTTTCCAGTTCTTAAATTCTGTAGAAACTCATCATATTCAGATTCTGTAGTTTTTTTCAAGAATTCATATTCTTCTGAAAATTTGCTTTCTAAATGCTCAAGATCCATCATCTTGAATTTCCTCTCTTTAAATAGTGAGTTCAATCTATCAGTACTTTTCTTCATCAAATCAGTTGATTTCTTTTTGTTATACTCAATTTACTTTTTATTATCTTCAATGGTTCTATTACTTTCATTGCGATCTTCTCTGTTCTTATGCATCTTGTCCTTTTACTCCTTCGTTTCCTCCTTTATTTTTTTAATTTCGTCAGTGAGATTTTTGAATTTCACCAGATAGTCCAGAATGTTTCTTTTTCTTTGATAATGCTTTCTATAGTATCTAGTCATTAATTTCTCAAACAGGTAGTAAACCTGCTATTTATCTTATTCTAAGCTTGAATCTATCTCCCATTATTATATATCATTTACTATGTTCTAAATCTTTCTAGCCGTAACATAGGCTGAATCTATAATTCTATCATACTTTTGTTCATTTAACTTGAATGGGTTTCTGAAATACTAAATATTGACTTTTTCTGGCTGGCCGAGGATATTTTTATTTTTCTTAATTTCATTGTGGTGATTTTTGAAATTTGACTCCTTTTTCTTCTTAAACTGTGATGAATTGCTCTATTGGATGAAGATCATATTCTCCTCCAGATAATGCATAAAGTCTACATGGATCACTCTTGTCATTAAGAATAGATCTTTGCAATAGTTTGCTAAGTAACCTAGTGTCTCTAAAGAGAGATTGTCTTAGTTATCATCATTGATTCTAAACTAATGCATTAATATTTAGTCTATCATAAAGGAACCTCTTGAGTGATTTGACGTGAATATGATTTTGATATTCCTTGTAATGTCTGAATTCAGACAATATAGAATTTATTCCTCATTAAAATTATCAAAGTCGTAGGTTTATTGGGTATACTCTCTTAACCTAATCTTATCAAGATTGATTTTCATTTCCTGATAATTCAACAAATTCTAGAACCTAGAACCAGTAGCCAATGCTTACAAGAAATAGAGGAAATTGGCAATAGATTCCTATCTATGCTCATCATTTAATTGATGGTTTAAATTGTAGTTTTCCATTTCGACAATTAAAATCATCTTAGTCTTCTTTCTAAAAACATTTTCCTCCAGCTTACTGTTGAAGTCTCTGATAAATTCACTGAATGAAAACTCTGGAGAGGAAAGATTGATAAAATAGGGCGTATATCTAAGGAACTAAGCGCACACTCTGCAAATGAAAACTAGGAAACTAGAATCTACCTCGTAATTAGCTTTGAGAACCACATGCCCCTATAGCTCTTCTAATTATCTCATCAAGTCTAGACAAGTTTTGACCATCTTATCATATAGAGCATTATCCATCCTTAGAAATTCATGCTTGAAACTGCAGTCATCCTAAAAGATAAACTTCTTAAACTGATTTCTCATTTCTCTGTTTATAAGTTTGAAGTGATCCTCCTCCATTATTTAAATGTCATATTCATAGTTCTTTGGTTGTTCATCCAATCTCTCGAAAATATCATTATTTACTATAAACTGCTACTTCATTAGCATTAGTTCTATATCTTTGTTCTTAGAAGCCTATGAATTGACGATTCCGCTATGAACAGGAGGCTAGAAGTTCTTGTTACCTCTTGGAGATTTAGTTGGAGATTTTTCTTCCATAAAATCCTGAGCTATACCATAGAGGAGTGTGCTGATCTTAAGAATGTATTATCTGACTTTGTTATTAAATGATTGCAGTTTGAAGTTCATTCGACCCTTCTTGCTAAATTTACTTGATGATTCATCCTCAGACATATCTTCTCTATCAGAAAAATTGTTACTTGAAAGATCACTTGATTTCTTTTTCTTATGATTGCTCTTTTTAATCTTGATTCTTAGATGAGAGGTATTAGATTAATCGCTTTCTTCTTCAGACGAAGACAGTATAATAGACTTATCATCTCCCTTGTCTAGATCTGTATTAAATGAACTGTCATTATCCTTTTGCTAAAAATCAGCATTATTACTATATCTATTGTCAAATATCTTGTCATTGAACTGTTTTTGTTCTTGGACACTTTGGAAAATAAGAGGGAATTAATATAGATATTAACGTTTAATTAGATCAAACCATGTCTTAAGGATAGCTTATTTATCTGATTTTATCTTTGAATAGTCTATCTAAACGAATTTTCTAATACATGTTACTGTACTCTGAATAGATAGATTAATTCCAAAAGCCTTAGTATCACAATAAAACTTTTCATAATTCTTAAACATAAATACTGACAGCGTATCCATTACCTTTTTAGATATTTCATATAAATTTTTATCATGTTTTTAGTCAAAAGCCTTATCAACATACTACATGAAAATATTACCCATCTCGAATTTGTTAATCGATTGAATCTATAGCTTTACAAAATGTCTCATAATTCTCTCATTAAATGACTTAATCAAATACCTATCTCCTCTTTTTCCTAAAGTGTAGCTGATTATTATATGCATCTACTGCACATAATTAAATCTCTACTAATTTTTTGAATACCAGCCTCCAAGCTCAAAGTATTCTCTCAGTAATTCCAAAGGTGAAGATGAGTCCTTATCTGGGTGTATATTAGACATATTCAAGTCATCGATGAATAAATAGGTATGCTATTTTGAGGGTGGAACATACACTCCTGCTCTTTAGACTTCCATATTGCTTTCTACTATTCTCTTTAAATCTGTTACCTTTGTCAGAGGATTCATGACGTATGGTATATATCTTGAAATGTTAGACAGTCTAAAGTCTCTAAACTTCATATCACTCTAGATTTTATTGCGGATCATTGATGTTTTACCACTTTAAATTGGTCCCATTACCATTATACTCTTATGATGAGACTGCAAAAGCCTGTAATAATAATTATTTCTTCTAATCATAGATGACTTATCGAAGTATAGGAACTCTAATTCATCACAGGCATCAAATTTCTGATTTACTTTTCGATCAATCTCATTCTAGGTCAAAATATGATTTTTAGTTTCTCTGTACTAAGAGTTGAGTCTGTATTCCTCTGATATAGAAAATCTTCTTCTACCTTTTTGATATTCGCCCGAATGTGTGCAGTATTTTAAGAAAGGGTTGAAGATATCGAATGATTGCCAAATCAATGATGAATAGTCAAAGTATTAATTCATAAAGAATGATTCTTATTAGTGATCCTTTGAATCAAAAGCATTAAGAACATCTATAAATCCAAAAGCAAATTTATCATCAATTTTACCATCAGATATCAATGTTTTTATTGCCGTTTTAAGGTAAATAGCTACTTAACTATGAAATCCGGGACTAATGTAATTGGAAATAACAAATTTCATTGATTCCATAAATGCTGATTGAAGACAAGCCAACTCTTACTCATGAGTGAGCTTTGTTTGCTCGAACTCCTAATTCTTCTTGCTTCTCATTGAATACTTGATCTGGAATTTGTCAAACAAATTTAAGTTTGAGATCACTGAGTATAGACTTTTTTCTTTGTCTCTTTAAGAATCATTTTCATTCTTAAGGAATTCATCTTCTAATCTGTCTATGTCTATTCTTTTATTGCAAATAAGAGCTTTAAGTAGTTCATCTATCATGACTTCAGTTATCACCATCATATCTGAGACTATCATCTTTTGCTATCTTACTTAGAAAAGTAGGAATTGCTCATGCTCTCTGAGAAACTCAAGGAAAGGCTTAAAGATTCTATTGAATAGTCTCAACATCATTGATGCATGAGGCTTGAAATATGCTGGAAATTTTTCACTTAGTATGTATTTGCTAAAAAGTGTTATGTCATCTATTATATCCTTGTCAATGTAAATAATCTGGCATCTATTCATTATTGCTGGTGAGATATGGTATATGGTTTGAGTCTCTATTATATACTTTAGTTCCGAATTAACTGAATGAATGCTGTCGCCATTTGATTGGCAAAGAAATTCTGATTCTCTCTCAGTTAGTGTCAAAAACCTTTCAAACCAATTGATTTGTATTGAATTATGGAAATTTTCTTTCACCTAGCCATCTAATAATATCCAATCTCTTTGAGTAGCAAATAGACTCCTTTTAATTAGGTCCTTTTCGAGGAGAGAAAAATCTATATTCTTGCTTTTCTTTACAGCCTTCTTTTGAGTATGTTAGCTTTTCAATTATGTATTCTTAAAGAAAGATTCTAACTTCTTGGTTGGTTTCAACTCATTGATATTAGTGCTTGCTTTGAGAATATCAACACTTCTATCTCCTATGAATATTGATTTATAGTTATCTTCATTTAGGAATTTCTATTGTTCCTCTGAAAGTTTTGTTAGACATTTAAGTATTAGTGAAGGTAAGAGTCCCTCTTACCATTGTTACTTTGTATCATGATATCCATAGAATTGGTCTAGGTTTTAGGAATCCACATTAAATCTGTGAATGTTGAAATGCTTCTTAGTAAATTTATAGAAAGCCTTGGCCACTAATTAGATTAATTCAGTTTTTCCAGACATTGATCTGCCTATCAATAGAATAGATTTGGTACTTTATTGATTTCTCGCTTCCTTACTCTTTATTGTTGCACCTATGCTGTTTAGGAATTACTTTGATTTTATGAGGAGTTAATCTGAGTGAATTATCTATGTTGTCGCAATTATTGTATTAAGAATTTCATTCATTCTATTTTCTCTTGGAAAGCTGTAAGCAATAATGTCATTAAATTGAGTGTTGAACACATTAGCCACAATGCTATCTACAATATCAGTTTAGTTTGGATTGAACTGATAAAAGAAAGTGCCTCGTAATGAATTAGCAACTATGTAATCTTCTGTAGTATCTTGTTTGAAGACAAAAGTTCGAAGTATGAATTTTAGTTTCTAAACAATTATCTCAATAGTTCTGAGATTTAATGGGTATTTTACTAAGAGTTTGAAGGATTCTTTACTCTTTGAATGATAGGGAGTCATGTTTTCACTTAGTAATTGAAGGCAAGTATATATCTTTCCGCTGAGTCCTAGCGGGTTATTGAATCCAAGCATTGATAATTAAGCAGTTAAAAGAACTCTTGTATCTGGATTGAACATATGAATAGTCCTGAAGTTCTCAAACAAAATATGAGGGAAGTTATTCAATGTCACTCCAAAAAGTCTCTTTGATTCCCTGAATAGTATTTTGTTCTAAGGAACTTAATCTTAATGAGTGTATGTTGCAAACACTCCAAACTCTCTATTAAATGGAACTTCTGTGCTTCCACCACTTAAATTTACTTCTATCTTATTTTTGTGCATCATTACTGCATGCTTGATATTCAAGATTTGCTGAATGAGTGTAGACAAAATTTAAATCTCAAGTTAGTTGATCTCATCAAGACAAAGCCACCAACCACCAATAGCCATTCCAGCAAATATCCTACTCAAGCCATTATAAGAGCAACCTCCTCGACATGACCACATGATGAATGGTTTAGCAAGACTTCTAGCAAAAGATTTAATAGTCTCTGTTTTTCCAACTCCTTAGCTGCCGTAGATCAATCCTCCTACTTGCAGAGATACACTTTAAAATAAGTTGTAAAGGCATTTCTAAGTTTATGGAGTATAAACTAAAACAGATCCTTCAGTAGGATTAAATTCAAAACCGTATTATTGATAATGGCAAAGCATATATGCTACTATACTGTAGTCTTTCTTTTCTCTTTTAAGTGATGAATAATCAGCTGAGTACTCAAAATAAACATCCTTCACCTTATCTTCATTTACATCTAAGACACTCTGATATAGCTTAGAGAGTTTCAGAATCTTTTCAACGCTAAGTTTTTCTTTCTCAGCTCTTAACGCTTATGCTTCTACTTCCATTCTTATTCTTTTCCTCATTGCTACTCCTAAACTTATTTGGTTTTTCTCTTCTTCCTCGACATGTATTACATTAGTCAAATTATCAGTTTTCCTATCTAATTCCATTTAAGATATTTTCTTCTGTTAATTAGCTGCTTCAATGAACCTTTATTCTCTAGCATCTTTAATTGTTAGCTATTCCAAAATACTGAATTATTTTTTCAAGGACTGCAAATGATTTTCAAGTTATTGCTACTTTTCATCTATACGATGTGCTTCTATTTCCAGAGCAAATTTCAGCTATGATAGCCATTCAAAGCAAGTAAGATCTTGAACCTAATTTGATATAAGCACTTCCAAAATTTCAATTTGGTTAAGTTTTTACAAATACAGGCTCTCAAAAACAATCCTTCTTGAAGATCTAAACTCATCTTTTTGCTTGTTAATTGATCTAATGAGTTTATCTTTTTCTTCATCTAACTTTGTTGGCTATGGTTGAGTATCTTTCTTATCTTCAGATTTTTATAATTCGATTCCCATATTTTAGTCTAGATGTTATTCTATTTTGGCTGCTTTCATAGTTTTTTATCTCAAAGGTTTAGATTTATCTGCAGTTAAATTTCCATTCATTGATGAGATGTCATGTAAACTGCCTTTAGATTGATGAACACCTTTTCTTAATTTTGCTTTTGGGTCTGGCGAAGGAGCTTGAGACTCTTCATATATTTCTAATTTTTGAGCCCAGAGTTCATCAAAATGAATGAAATTAACTATTGTCTTTGCATATCTTCTAAGCCTCTAGGCATACTTCTAAAGTCCTTGAATTCCATCTTAGTTGAATATTGATACAACATCGTAGTTGAACTTTATAGCTTCCACTACTAAATAAGTCTGCTCATTAAAGGACTGATTATATAACCATTCCTCAATATGAGAATCATCTCTTTCAATTATACATCTTCTAATTACATTTTTCATTGTCCACCTAAGTTAATTTTCCAACTCCTACATCCATATGCAGATATCAATATTGTATTTAATTTCTTTCTCTTCATCTCTATGCTGTGGAATATCAGACTTTGAGTCATTTTCATCAACATCAGTATTAGTTGGAATAATTTCTCTAATTCCCTTAATTGGCACTACATCTTAAAACAGCACATTCTCATTTTTCACACCTAAACACCCTATTATATTTTCTTAATTTTCATCAAGCATCAATTCTTTTACTCCTCTGAAACAGTACCTGAGATATGTGTTCATATATTTTGGATTATTTTATGAACAAGTTAGATTCATAATTTGCTAATCCGAAAGGAAAAAGAATCTTGGGAATTTTTCTCTTTTCTCAGAGAAGAATTTTTTGAAATTGATTCTAATGTTTCTAAGTTTTTCATTGAAGAGTCTGAGTCTTAAGTAGTCTTCCTCAGTAACATTCTGAAGAAAGTTTGGCATCTTTGTATTTTGTTTTAGTCTTTCATAAAATTCCTTATCAATTTCTTCAAAATCCTTCCATTCATTGGCAAGTGTCAGTTATATTTCTCTTAGTCTGAATGCATCACTTAGTATTATATAGTTCTTTTAGAGTCTATCAACCTACTCCATATAGTGTTTCATAGTCTTCAATTTGAATTACAATTCCTTGAGATGTTCTTCAAAAGGTAAAATATATATGTCATTCTTCAGCTTTATTTTCGAATTGAAATTGTAATCTTGAAGTGTATTTGTATGTTCTCTGGCATTCTTAATTAGTATATTACCATCTTTAGTCGTTATAAATTCCACCTAGTAATTCTTAATTTCTTGAGTTAGATTTTCAATGTAGATCTCATTTTCATATTCTTTTTCTGCTTTCTCTCTTATTTGTTAAATGATTGGAATCAAAGTAATAATGTTTTCCTCAATTAGGTATTTTAAAGTTATCTCATTAGCTTTTAACTAAGGTACTGCATTCAGATCTCCGTCTAGTCCTGTATTCAAATTATTGTTAATTTAATTTGCATAAAGATGATCTCTCAGCTCATTCCAATGCCTTTATCTTATTTTTTCTGAGATTAATCCTATAATAACTGGCATACAATTTTCGCAAAAGTCATCTAATTCTTTTAAAATTCTTTCAAGAACTGTTTTCGGATTATTAGTTTCTTCAAAATTTAACTTCTCATCTAATTCATCTATAGTTTCATATGTCTTGCGAACCATCTATTCAATCTCATCTTTATTAAGATCACTAAAGTATAGATTCATGTATTTATCATTCTCAATATGCCAGTTCTTAACCATTATCCATAGAGTTTTAAGTGGTTCACCTACATTTAGATAATCTGCTATTTCACTATAATCTGTAGGTGGCAGACCCAAGATAACTTCTTATTCATTCAGCTTTATAGCTTTTTCCTTATAAGCTTTGAGTTTCTCGACAATGTCTGAAATACCTTAAGCATATGATTCGGCATTTTCCATATCTTGATGAAACTTGAACCTAGAGTTTATAATTCTTCCCATTTATCCTATCTGATTTTTTACCATATCAGCTTCTTGTATTACCTCCTGCTTAAATCTTTCAATGCATCTATTCATTCTAAAAATAGTCTCTTCTTTAAAAGACTTGACTCTCCATTCCCATTGATAACTTAGCCAATATTTCTCGTACTATAAAATTTAAGATTTAATTGGAGAAAAGTGATGAAATTAAGATTACATCAATCGGATCAATATATGTGTAAAACTTTTAAAATAGAGATTCAAGTTTTTTGCATTTCTTGAGATGATTCTTCAATACTTCAATGTCATTTTCAAGATTAGAGTTATTGATATACTTCTTGATATCAATAAATATTTCTTTGGTATCTATTGATTGCATTAGCCTCTTTCTTATTTCTTCAAATTTTTTCCAAGCTACCTCTTAAATATTCAAGAATTTCCTCTTAATCTCTATAAGTCAAATTAATCTATAATTTCTTTACAATGTGAAATACTTGTGGCTAGGTGATTAGCACTGTTTATGAGCTCTCTTTTAAGATGTATTATGTCAACCACTAGACAGCCAAAACTAAGTTCATTTGGAAATCTCATATCAATTTCATATTCATCCTATTTCAAAAGCTTGAATTCATTATAAAGAATCTCTATTTCGTCATCATCTGCTAGTGTCTGTATAGTCTGAAGGTAATCTAACTCTTGATATAATACAAGATAATCATATTGCCTTAGCATGCCTAATATAGACAATGGGCCAACAATTGAATAGCATATCACAGTTTCTAATTCTCGTTAGAGTTTTTCAAGATCTTGAACTTAATTTGCCATTAAATCATCATCATTCTTCTTGAATGGTTATTCAATTATCTCGGGTGCTCTGATATTAGAAATCATTTGAAGCTTTTAAATTGGATCTATCAAAAGTTATTTTAGCTTTAACTCCATAGTTTTGAAGGTAGGCTTAAAGAAAATAGCCTGATCTTGAAAGTTATCCTCATCATACCACGGGAAGTATCTGCTAATTATGTCTTAAGGCTATTCCTAAATAATATCTTACTAACCTTCTTTTATATCTTAATTTCTCTAGTCAGGATCAATTGACATCATACTTTCATTGATTGTCTAAGATGCATTAGATACTGTCCTACTAAATAATAGATCTGGACTTTCTACAACTTTTTCTTTAGATATTAATCCAAATATATCAGTAACTGTAATCTTTTTTACCTTCTACACTAAAAAGATATTATCATCCTCCATAATTTTCAATTTTGGTAGTGGTTGAACTTCATTAATACTATGAATTTTGAGATCATTAAAACTTTAATCGCTACTGCTGTCATCTTAAGATTAATATTCTTCTTAATTTTTAGGCTCAATATCAGGAGCCGATGCTTATCTATCTTAATCCATATTTTTAAAATCCCCAATAGATATAGTAAATGGTCCCTTGAGATGTGGAATCTTAAAAGTCTTTTTGTTTCTACTCTCTTTCAATTTTTTCCCAAACAGAGAATTAGAAATTATATCGTTTTTCTTCTTGAGTTTTTCTTCCTCTTTTCTGGCTTTCCTTTCATCTTCATCCTCGTCATCATCTTACTGAATCTTTTTCTTATCAACAATAGTTCCTGGTCTTAATAATTTGGGAGTTAGAAGTGTTCTTTTTAAGATTGTAAATCTCCTTCTCGAAATTATCTCAATCCTAATTAGTGGTGCTATTTTCATTGATTGATAAGGTAGATGCCATTTGTACATTATGTTAAGGAATTTAGTAGTTTCATCAACTAATGGATTTCTATCAGGGGTAAAGACCAACTAAAATGTGTTAGTACTTGACTGTTGGTACTACTTATTGATAAAAACGATAGATTCTTTAACAAGATTCTCGCTATCTATAATTTCTTCTCTTTCATCCATACTGGAAACCTTTTTTAACAAGGAACTTTGCTGATACAGTTCTTCATGGAGAGATTTTGAGCCAACAGTTTGGTTAGATAGCATAGATTACTACTTTCTAAATTGTTATATACTAATTGTTCTTTTCCTCTCAATATGCTTTTAGATTTGAGCGATTGTCATTTCTTCTCTCTGAGAAATTTCCTTGAGTCTATCACCAAGTTCAGGAATAGCTGACATTTCTAGAGCTTTGCGCTACTCATTTAATTAGATGATAATATAGTCCTCACACAATTGGAGAATTCTATTGTTATAGATACCTGATAGAGGTAGTACTGCATAGTATCTCCTCATAAATTGATAACCCTCCTCGAAAGATTTGGCAATAGATACTTTAAGCGTACTCTCAAGGAAAATATTACTAATTCTGGTGAGTCTATTAAATCTTTAGAATAGATCATTTCTTTTGTTCATATCCCCGTGGCACTAGTTGACGAGGTCATAAATCATGTTATTCAGAGTGTTTTCAGCAGTCTTGCAAATATTTTCGACTTTGCTAATTTAGTTTTACTGCTTTGATAGCATTGCATCTTCGAATTTCTTTAAAGATAATGGTTGTCTTTTGTCATGAATGATCTGCAAACCCTTAAAGAATGATATTTCAGATATTGACTTGATGTACCTGATTATCTTAGGGAATATCACATGGACCAATGCAAGATTTTTAGGTCTAAGTTTTTCAAGATTTTTGCAATTAGCTCTCCTCTTATCTTTGAATATTGCAATTATTTATTTCATCAACTGGCTTTACTTCTCAAATTTATTCATCTATCTATTTCTGTCGATATCAATGCATATCAAAGCAATCTTTTCCTTGAATTCCTTTTCGTCCTCATTCTCCTCAAAATCAGGAATCTTGTACATAGTACCATTTGACTAGTCTATATCTTCATCCTCCTCCTGGAATTCATCTTTCTCAGATTAATCAATATCGTATTCTGAACTCTCATCATCAGATTTCCCAGCCTTTTAAACAGTAAGTATCTCCTCTGATCTCTATCTAGTCAGCTTCCCACCGTCTATTATACTAGAATCAGAATAGGAGATTATTTCGTTCTAGACATCTTCTTCAACTATTGATATGTTTTATCCATCATTCTACATCATCTTTTTTCGAGTGTGTTTTGTGTAGCTCATCAAATCAAATAAGTTATCAGTGATTCTTTTCTTTGTAGCTTGAAGAGTAGCTCTTTTAAGATCTTCCTTCAATTCTAGATGATTTAATTTTGATTTGGGTTTTACTTGATGTGTTCTTCTTGATCCGTAAATAATGCTTCTAATAAATCGCATCTTAGACCAAAATTCCTTCTCTTGCATTGCAAGGAAGTAATCTTCAGGCTTTTTATTCATGTTCTCTTAATCAAATGCATCTTTAACCACCGTAAACCTGTAGAATTTAAGGAAATCTCTTGTAAGCTTTCTCAGATTTTTGAGATGGTTGATGTTATGAGCACTTTTCTCATCTACATCATTCTTTATCTTATTTAGGTATCCTTCATTTGTAAGAATGATTATATTCTCAATAATCTAAGGCCTAATAAGAATCAAGGCCTCTTTGGACTGAGAAATTTCATTATTTTTCTTCATTAAATTTCCAGTATATCTTACTAGACATTCATGAACCTTCTGCTTTTCCCGAGCTATTTATATTCTTTTTTCATGCTTTTATAAGTCTTCATATTCGTATGCCAAGTTTAGTCTTTTAACCTATTTTACTTTGCTTTAAGGATGGTTCACAAACTTGATTTCAAATAACTTAGAAGTGGGATCATAGCCTATGATGCGACACCTTTCCCATTTAACTTTGGCTTGATTTGGTCCAAAAGGCAGATATTAAACATCTGAATCAATCTCATCTGTTGTAAATCTAGAAAACCCATGGATTTAATTTGAATTTAAGATCATAATCTCTGGGTCGGGATCATCTCTTGCTTCATCATCGAAAATCTCAAGTGGGAAGAAGTAATTCTTAGCATTTTAACGGTAGAACTTTACTTATTTAATTGAATTCTTCTCATTATTCCTTATCTTTTTGACTTAAGGATTTGAAATTTGGTCTATTCGTTCGATTTGAATGTTCTTTTGTAGCTAATCTTCCTTTATTGGTGACTTGTTCTTGATAGCAAAGTATTTTCCTTTATCTTCTACAATATCTCTCAAATCTATGTTAAGTTCTTATTTCTACCTTTGGGATGTTTTAGTGATGTCAGAACCTCTCGATTCAACTTCTATTAATTCATTCTTTGATGGGCTTTTGGTTTTCAATTTCGTTTCAACTTCAGTATATTAAAAGACTTGAGTGTTTATATCTTTTCTCTTTGCTGACTCCTCACCAATTTTCTCTAAATCTTGCTCTGTCTCCTCTTTCTTCTAACGTTTCTTAAAAGTATATCCAAAATTTGTGAATGTGTATTTCATTAGCTCTTCTTCTTGTTTATTTTTCTCTAGAATTTTACTTGCCCTCTCTTACTATTATTCGATTAAATCATTTTTGCTAGCTACTATTTCTTCCTAGCCAGCATCTTACGCCAACTCATCATTAATTAACCTTTAAACAGTGCTATCTTTTTCTTCTTTTACAAATCTTTTGTTTAGCACTCTGTCTGCACATTTTATGAGTTTAGGAATACTCTATGTTGCTAATTGCTATCTTTCAAATTTCTTTTTGGTCTTCTCACATAATTAATCAAAGGCTGTGGTCTTTAGCTTTTTGACCAGATTTTCTTACTTTTGATTGAGATTTTAAATATTATGCTGAAGCTTAGCTTCGAAATCTTTCTTCTAGGAAGGCGCCCTGTAAGTATGTTAAAAATGTTAATCTTGTCCTAAAAAGCCAAAGCCTCCTTAAGATTGAGTCTACTTCAAATTTCTAAGAGTTCTCATCATATCTGCATTTTTCTCTGCTCTTGAAGTTAGCATACTATCTAGTCCGCCTCGGCTAGGACTCAAAATTGAATCTCTCTAAAAGATGTTATAGAAATAATCTTTAGATTTACATTGAAGTTCAGTGAGGGAAGCATAGCCGATGACTATGAACTCTAGAGTCCGGCTCTTGCAGTGTAAAATCCCTATGCAGTCGTTCCTAATTTTGTATCTTTTGACCTTTATTCTCTTTTCTTAGTATCTCTTGAGAGTAAATTATCCTCTAAATTTTTGCGCCTTTAATTATCCTCATATTTCATGAAATTTTTATAGGGCTCCAGTGAGGGCTGATATTGTTACAAAAATATTTTACTTTTTGAGGAATACTGATATTCTATGACCTTATTCTTTCAATCTTAGGATAGCTAGCTTGTGTTTCTGTCCTAATACTTGATTTAATTTCATTGTCAGATTCACTTAAGTTGTCCATTTGAATTTAATATTTCTTTAATACAAATGCTTTTAAATTATTTTTATTGCTCTCGCTTTTATACTATTTTAATAATATTGTCAAACTATTAATTCCGATCAATTGCTATTTTTCTATTCGTGGGGTTTTGGGGTTTTGGGG